CTGAGACAAACATAGTCAGCACATGGGAGTGAAATCACTTAATTAGATCAAGTGTTTTTTGTGGTCTAACCCCAACAACAATGAGGTATAAAGTCTTTTAATAGTGGTTCTGCTTGTGTAGGATCTCCTTAGTGTGGTTCCAGACTTGTGCATTGACACATTTATCTCACATTTTATCAAGTTTGAAAAATTCTAATAAATGAGTGTTCCCCGGTTGGTGAAAGACATGAGACAATCAGCACCTTTGAAGGCTGTTCGTGCCAGTGACAAAAGAAGTGTGTCGATGAAACGAACACAAGAATGGAGTCTGCTGTAAATCTCTCGACTAAAATAGCTGCATTTAAATCAGAGCGAGCATCGAAGGTATTTCTTCAAAAGAAAGACGATGCTGCTGTTCCCCCCCGCCTCAACTTTTGGAAAATGGTCCCTTTGGCACTTGATGGAATGAATTCAACTCCTATTTTTTCCTCTCAATTGTCCAGGCAATTTTATTTATACAGCCAAAAATCACTAACAATTTTGCCCCAAAAAAGTAACAGAAGCAACAAAGGAGGGATTCTTTATCCAGGAGAGACACAAAACAGACGAGCAAGACAGAAATTACAATATTGGAAAGATAGATTGCAAACATAAAATTGCTTTGCTGACTTGCTTGCTGCTTTACAAACAAAAATACTTCCATCAGCGTGATAAACATTCAAGAAACAACTGGTCATTTTTAATGCAGCGTCCCTGTGAAGGTAAAGAGCACACAGAAACATTCTTAAGATCTTTGTGGTGAGCGGTTATGTGGTCCTGCTGTTGTTGTGCAGCAGCTACAAGTTGCTCTACTTCTTCATGCATTCTTAATTTTCATATATGGTGTGCTCAGTATACCCAGTGTTCTTATTCTGCCTCTCCACAATGTAGGCGTGTACTACATTTCTGTCTGCATGTAAGAGTGATCGGCTGCTTCAGAGATTTCTTGTGTGCACTTTTAATTTGTCTTTTTCAAAAATACATGCTAAGACGATTGTGTGAATATCAGACCAGAACACTGGACAACTAACTGCACTCTTACTGATGTTTTCTCCCCAAAAGGTAAGACTGTGATATAGTAGGAAAGGCGTCTAGTTTGGAGCAGCCCCAGAGTCAACATGAGGAGGTAGGAGGTGAGGATGGTGGAATGAGTCAACAGCAGGGCCTTCACCCACGACACCGAGGTTACAGTCACATGTGGGATCATTATTCTCAGACCTCATTTTTCACTTCAGGTTGATTTTTGTTTTCCACGGTTTGGTTAGGGTTACGCATAAATCCTGTCTATGTGGTTAAGTTTACTAAAATATAACAGTTTGGGTTAAAATACGAATCTTTAATAATATGTTTTGTGCTTCTTCTTGATTTTCTAGGTTACCAGGATGAAGAGTTTCAGTTAATCTAAAACAAGATTAGCTGGCTGAAAAGGAGCAAGTAAAGCATTAAAGTAAATACATATGCTGATTTTTGATATTTGTAAACATGATTGGCGAACATATCAATTACATAGAAAAAATAAATGATCTCTCTTGTAATTATCCTTTAGGCTATCATCTTTAAATCAAAACCATCATGAATTAAATTAAGTGATTATTTTGCTGCAACAATAGCATTTCAGTCACAATGAAGGAGCCGCAATCACTTTTTGTCAGTTGAACATTGCATTATATGAGGTGAATTGGCCTTTTAAAGCTATTTGAACTAGTAACAAGAATTGGTTCTTATAATCTGGGGCACAGAGCAGGTAAAATAAGAATAACTGCAAAAGAGTTCATTTCTTTTTGAATGTTTGACCTCGATAAAAGCAGCTGTAGTTGAATATAAAATGGATGATACAGCTTTAACAAACAGTCAATTTTTGGAACGACAACGACAAAAGTGTAAATTATTTTCTAAACATGACTGAAATTTAGTTGCATAGTAGCCTCACAAACATTGGCACCTCATTTTCATTCTGCTATTGGGGGAAAAAAACTGTCTAGCTTGTTGTTGTATCATATTGGGTGAAGCTGAGCCCAGGATGTAGCAACGGTGCCCCTTCAAAATAGTGACTGGGAGATTGTTTTGGTGACACACTTGCATTCAGGAAGACAATCCCTGTCATAAAATTGATAACTCTGGTCTACACCCATTTTGGTGTCAAAGTTTTTTGAGCTGATTTTGGACAATTGCAATGTGCTGAATCCAAATATTACATTGGTTTTGCTCAATGAGGTCAAAATTTTGATTTGTCGCCATATGCACTTTTTTACGTTTTTTTTTCCTTTGTGGGTTTTTTTTGTTTTTTTTCTCCCAAATTTTTTTTTTTTTTTCTTGAATTGATCAATTTTTGAACCTTTTCCAGTTTGTTCTTTTAATTTTTTGATGTTGATTTAATTTCGGTTAGAAAGTTTACCCCCTGGTTTGTGAACAACACATTAGAATCATGTCATTTTATCAGAAAGAGATGGAGATCAGGTATCAGGGACGCTGGGATGCAGTCATGATGGCTGATTACTGCTGGACTCTGAAGAGAGATATACCTGCTGCTGCTCATTCCAGGAGTTCCAAAAAGCACAAGTTCAAGCCCTGAACTTTGAGCAATGCTGATGAAACATGCAATTTACTTGTATTTACTTTTACAAATGTTTACGCTCATCAACTTTTGGATCATTTAGCTTATGAAAAGGATTAGAAAAGAAAATTTTTCCTCTAAAACCCGATTTCATATGAGAAATATTGAAATAAATCAGTCGCTATTGTCAAAAAATGTAATCGAGTTAGTGGCAAAATCAACTTTTTAAAAATCGAGTTGGCATAAAAACCTGACCTGACACAGAAAAGCAGATGTCATGTTTGTATTCCGCATTGCAAAAATGTCATAAATCAGTTAAAAAATCCTAGACACCTTCAAAAAAATATGTTTTTGTAACCCAGTGTAATTTACTGATAAAACTAGCAGGGCTGCATTACTGCATGAATCAAATCCTCTGCAAGACTTGACATTTTCAGTGTGGTTTTTGTTGTTTCCTGTAGTGAAGGGGATTTTGAAATCAGTAACATGCAGATGGCAGACTGATACCTACTATCTACATCCAGTGAGTCAGACTAGAGGCTCATCTTGTTTCTTTAATTTGCCTCATCTGCTGCTCGATCCTCGGTTCTCTGGCCCCGTGACACCAATCTGGGTGTGCTATAACAAAGGGAGTTTCATTTTCTATAGTTCATTCTGATGATCGAGGATTAAGGAAGTTTGCCGGAGAAGCTCTGAGTGAGGATGCACAGGTGTGTCCTCGATGTCGCCTTAAGTCTACAATGCTACTCACTTTTTTATTTGTATATACTTACACGACTATTTCATACTTCACTGCATATGTGTGTTAAATAAAAGATAAAAATGTACATCTGTACATTCTCGTCACATTCTGCTGCGATGTGACTTAAACTATAAGTAAAAATATTTACAGTTGAAACCAGAGTTTGCATACACTGTATAAAAAGACAGAAAACCTTTTTATTTTCTCTCTATCTGACATTAAATCAGACTAAACTTTTCCTGTTTTAGGTCAGTTAGGATTACCACAATTATTTCTATTTGCTAAATGCCAGAATAATGAGAGAGATTGTTTTTTTTAGAGATTTTTTTTTTCTACTTTCTTTAAAGTCAGAAATTTACATACATTTCCTTGGTATTTGGTAGCATTGCCTTTAAACTGTATGACTTGGATCAAATGTTTTGGGTTTCCTTCCACAAGCTTCTCACACTTGTTTGCTGGAATTTTGGAACAACTTCTGACTTTGAAGAAAGTAACAGTAAGTAAAAAAATAAAATTAAAATTCTCTCCCTCATTATTCTGGCATTTTGCAAATAGAAATAATTTTGGTAATCCTAACTGACCTAAAACAGAAAAAGTTTAGTCTGATTTAATGTCAGTCAGGGAGAAAAAAAAAAGTTATATGTCTTTTTATAGTGTATGTAAACTTCTGGTTTCAACTGTATGTCATAAACGATGTTCTGCTCATCTGACAGATCATAAAAAACAGCAGTGGGTTATAATAAAACAGTGGACGGGTGATACAGCTGTGCTACACTTTATATATGTAACTGATGTTGCTTTAAACTGACTCTCGCTGTCCCATTTTGTTAAAGACCTGTTGCCTCCACTCCTCTCTCCTAGCATCACCTCCTAGGCCTGCTCCACTGGAATCTCTGCCGGGAAGAACAAAGAAGCAAGGCAAGGACTCGAGTAAAGGAATCGAGGATGTTCAAGTAGTGAAATGTGGATAAGGGGTAGTTGTGCAGAAACATAACTCTTAGGAGACTGGGCTGCAAACAAACAGAAAGTGAAAGGGGGCCAGTGGCCACCTGCTGCTGGTTCCTCACTGCTCCGAGCTGCGCCCCTGCCACTAAATTCCATCCACATTAAAAGGAACTCATCTGTCCCTGACAAGGAGCAGACTGACAGCGGAGATGGAGTATTTATATATTTATTTATTTGGCGCAGATGGCAGCCTGACACCGATCAGCCCGGCGGAGTTTGCAGCGGGCCGGTGATTTGGTGCAATGCGAACACTTTGGGCTCAGTCTCCGGCTGCGCTGTCAGATAGAAAGGCGTGGAGCAGCAGCAGCAGCCTCAGCCTCCCTCTGCTCCTCCTGATCGCTGTGACAAACAGCAGGGCGGTGGGTGCGACTCGATGGCACAGCGGCTCGGATGCCAAGTGTCACCCTGCTGCAAAGTAGCCCGACCTCAGATCACCGCGTCGCCGCTTGACACTGACTGAAAAGGAGGAGGAGGAGGAGGAGGAGGAGGAAGAGGGAGAGCCTGTGTTTCCCCGTCACACTGATCTGAACAGTGGGGAAGCTCAGGCTCGGGATCCGCTACGTCAAACAGATTAGTCAAATAACCTCTCGGGGTAGGACGCACCTCCCTCCCCACCCACCCTCCACCCGTCGGGCTTGCCTGGCTGCATGCATGGGCTCAGGAAGCAGCAGAGACTGAGCTGACGAACAAGCCAGGAAGCCTCTGGCGAAATACAGAAGTGCACTACTTTTCTTGCTTTTTGTTTTTTTTTCTCTTTTTGCTTGGCTCAGACGTCTGTGGTGATCCTCCGGCAGCTCTTCTTCTCCTGCTTCTTCTCCTCCCCCCACCCTCTCCGTGCGCAATGGCGAAAGAAAACGGCGAGTCCAGCGATGGATCTTGGAAAAAGCATGTCGATGATATCAAGAAAATATTTGACTTCAAGGAAGTCCTTGGGACGTGAGTAACGAGATAAACGCAGCCTCACAGGCGACCACAAACTTTGTAATCCAGTTGCGCAAAAAAAAAAAAAAAATAGCGTTCAGACAACAATGGCACAGTGTAGCGGTTTAACGGTCAGATAGAGCAGACTGACAGCTGTTGAATATTTGTTGAGGGAAATGCTCGACGCTGACAGACACGCAGCGCCTCTTAAACTTGCTACAGAGAGGCGTTTTGAAGCCAATCAGGAGCAGCATCAGTTTAATTGTTGAGAGGAGCAGGAGACGCTGAGCCGTGTGGACTGATGCTCCCCGTTATGTCACAGTTCATTCAGAAACTACTGCAGCCTGTTTTGATTCCTCCCGTGGATCAAACCAGAGCTGATCCACAGCTTTGTGCAGGCAGGCAGGCAGCCATTTATCTGAGGGGTCGTTTTGTACAACTACAAGCAGGGCCTGTTTGCACACATGATGAAATCAACTCCAAAATTAAGGCACCATCTGTGATGACTTTCATGTCTTCTTGTGCTCAGCTCACTCCGTCTTTCTTCTTCAAACAGAGCAACAGATTTGAGCTGAGAAACACTATGTCTGGGTCTCAGACACTTTTGTCACAGTGTGAGAACTGTTCAGCTGCTGTGGGTCCACTGGGCTTCTTCGGGGACCACTTTGGATGAAGTTGCTCTCTTGCCCTTGGAGCACTGAGCGCACAAATTCCAGAGTTTATTTTGGTCTGCCGTTAGTGCTGCTTGACTTCATGTCTTTTTCTTCTCTGAATAAGTTATGTGGCGTAAAGAGCCCTGAATGGGGAGGCATCAGACAGCCAGAACAGGTCGTGGTTACGTGACAGCCAGCCGGTCCTGTTGCCGTCACACGTCTCATAGAGTGGAGGTCTCGTTTTTGTGCCTCCTCCACTCAGAGGAATTTAAAGTGTTTATATTGTTTGGGTGGAGGGCCTCTGCTGAGGAAGGAGTCTCCCTCAGGGAATATGTTTGTGTTGTTTCATTTAGCCCCAGAAACTGATGTCAAGCTGCACTAAAAAAGAAAAAAAGGAAAACAGCCTCTGGTCCTTGTGGTTATGGAGGTCATTCATAAAACACTCACCCTGTGGTCTGAGATGTGCAGCGTCATCTTGTGTGAACTTTGAATGATCTGTGTCCTCATGGCTTTCCTCTCCTTAATTTTATGTAGCTGCTCAAGCGTGACTGCATATCTGCCTTTTTTTTGTATTTTATTTTCGAGGAGCAGCATCGTGAAATTCTCATACAGATCGGTGATTCATAAAGCGCACTCCACACTTCAGCTGTTGGACTAAACAGTCAGACGTTCCTACCTGGAGGCCGGTCTGATTTCCCCAAGGCTTTCATTTATGTGTGAAGAGCCTCTGAACAACACTAGTGAATCATCGTGATTTACTGTCCACACAATGGCCGGGGCTGGAGGAGCGCACATCCCTCGCCCACAAACCCGGCACACATCTCCGGGGGCAGGTTTGTCACCGCTCGGGCTCTTTCATGTCACGTACACGGCGTGCGCTCTTCCTCGGCGGAGGCCCACTCGCTCCCGTATGTCTTAATCAGGGTGTGGCCTGTCGCTGCACGGCGGGGTGCACCACAGGACACCCTGGGCAGAAAAGCCCAGGAAGCCTGCAGCTTTGGCCGAGGATTAAAAAACGGAAGAGGAAGGACTGTTGTCAGGTTTCCCCATCGGCGTCCAAGAGGGATCATCCCTCTGGAGCGTCCTCGTGCCAAAGAAAACCCATTCATTGCTCATTGGAAGTCACTAAGTACATTTACGCAATTACTGTTCTTAAGTGCATTTTGGAGGTGCTTTATATTAGTATTTACATATAGGGGGCATCAATTGAACTGACATACTAAACCAATGGTGACCTTAAAAATCTGATGCATTGACACAGAAAGAAGTGGATTAATGGTCATTCTGCTTCTGCATTTTGGTACATTTTACAGATTTTTTCATTCTTAAAGTGGTGTAAATGCTCCTGTATTCCTAAATTCTGAATGCAAGACTACTTCTACATGATATCTTCACTTTTACAGTAAAGTGTCTCATTTTCTGTCCCACACACACCACAACAATCCCACCTCCAGGCACGCTTTCTCAGGTTAATATTCAGTGATACTTGTTGTTCTGAAACATTTGGACGTTAATCTAAAAACACAGAGCACATCAGCATGAGCGTTTTACAAAGAGAAGCGTTTTGCAGCTGGAGGCGACTCGTGTGTGTGTGTGTGTGAGGGAGAGAGCGTCACGACTGATTTGATATTGTCAGGAGTTTTGAAACAGGAGGCCTGTGGTCGTGTCGTTAATTCTTTCGACGCACTTCTTCCACGTGTCTCGTTGCTGTAGAGCTAATGAGATCTTGACCACTGAAGCTAGACCTAGTACCTCAACACTGCTTTCCTTGGGGCTAATTTCAGAGCCTTAAGCTGCTCATACTCTGTGGAGGCAAATTAAGTAACCTGACTACAAGCACCTGCAGAGATCCCAAGGGGAAATGTTGTAAATGTGAAGGTTGAGTCAGGGTTGCCACTCACGCTGCATAATTTGAGATCTTTGAGATATCTGTTTTTACTTTCACACTAGTGCCTGACACCAGTTTCAAGGCATTTAATAAAACGATTGGATGTAAGGTAACATGAGCTGTAGCACTAGAAACTGTGTCAGTGTTCGCCGTGATGAAAAATTATCTGAACAAAATCTTCTAAAGATATTTGTAAAGAAGCTGTGGTTAATGTGTACCAACGTCGCTGCAGATGCATTTTATCTGATTGGTGTAGACCTGCTGATAATTGAAAGGGCCAATGGGTTAATCATCAGTTTGCTGTTGCTCGTGTTAATCAAGCAGTAAATCTAGCAGAGAAATGTCGGAGATAAGTTTGAAATAATTTAACAATGTCTCCAGTATAGCTGACCACTTTTTAAGCTGGTGTACTGAATGTACTGTTTACACACCAGCAGTTATGCAGCAACCTTAACATTGATTGGAGTCGTATTTGTGTCCGCCTGATGAATGCAAGTTCAATATTCACTTCCCTTCATTATTTTTTTTGCTCTGTTTTGGTCTCCACCAACTCCTGAGGGAAATATCTGCCTGTTTAGCTGCTGAAGCTCGACTATGTTCACCAGCTGACTGTCTGTCTGCAGCTGACCTGTATGGAGAGTTTAGATATTTTGAACTGAAAACAGTACCCTACTACACGAGAAAGTTAAGTCTGAACAAGAACAGTAAATCTGTGGGCTAAGAAACCAAAACAAAGGTAGAAATGTTAAAACACTCAGGGAGAGCTGAGATGAACTGCAGAGGAGAATTATGATCCTTGTGTACTTATTATATATTAACTCAAAAAGGGGGTCCTTGTTAAAAATGCTTATGTGAAAAAAAAAAAAAAAGATTGATGTAGCTTCAAACATCCAAATATCTGCCTCAAAAATCCAGTATGAGTCCAGCTCTATGATGTACTTTACTTGGGCAAATTACTCAAAAGCAGCATGTATTATTTACTTAATGCTGTTGCTAAAAAGCAGTCCAAAAATGATGCTTTCCAGTTGCATCTGTTCTAAGTGCTTTGTCGTGTATTTCAGAATCCCACTCTCCGAGATCGAAGTGCCAAAGTTGTCCTCTTAGCCTCCAGCGCAGAACCCAAGCACAGAGGAGCTGTAGCTGACTCATTCTTGCTTTCTGGTTCCCTCTAACTCCACATCGGAAAAAAGGAAAATTACCTTTCCCGAGTTTGATATTTCATGAAAAAACATGATATTAAACTTAGCCTGGCTCTGACAAAGCCCTACTTATTTGTGATGCATTCAAGTGCCCTGCTGCTGCCTCTGTACGCCGAAACGCAGCTAGGGTAGTTGAGTCCTTGAAAGTGGCCTGAATGCAGTGAAAATGGCAGCTAGGCAACGAGGATGATGGAAGTCCTTGGTTGTTTCATCTGACGAAGACTCTATCACTTCCCACCACTACTGTTCAGCAGCTGCACTGACTGTGGACGGATGTGAATTGTACGCATAGTCATTACCTGAGTTTCCATTTTATATTCAGGGCCCTCTGACCACAGTTAATACCTACAGAGTCATAGTGTGCCGTCCCCTGCACTCACAGAGGAGAAGCGTACCACGCTGCCCTGTATCAGAGCTCAGGAGGCGGTAATCACCCTCATTAAAATAATTCAGCTCCTCTCTGACGGGCTGATCTGTGGCTTCTGACAAGATTGTCTGGCGCTCCCGGGAAATATTTGGCAGAAACGTTTCTTTTTAGTTGTTTATGAGCAGCATTAGCTCCAATGGACCATCGCTCTCTGTTTGATCAACAATCTGGTGAACGCAAACTGCACATTCCTGGAAAGCAGCCTCGGGTCTGGTGTGTATTATGGTAATGGCTCCCTGCTCCAGCTGTTGGGACTGTGGAGCTGCTAGATTTTCACTGTGGTCTTATCAGTAGAGTTGATTTAACTGCAGCACCTGATCGTGGGTATTTACGACCTGGAGGGACAGAAAACCGGCGTAGGCAGCCACAGCCGAGCTGGTTATATTATTATTACGCAGTGGTGTAAAAGTACTTCAAGTACAATTCTGATGTACTTCACTTGAGTGCTATTTTACTGAACTTTGCTTTCTCCCCCTATTCTATTAGAACAATATATTATTTCATGGTTGACTATTCTGCAAACATAATCATTTATCAATCATTCATTAATCATATAGTGTTGTATAGTATTGTTTTTTTTAGATGGAGCATCAGAAACTTTTCTTGGTTGCTTCTTAGGTCTTCCCGTCATGCTCCTTCTTGCTGTAGCTATGCTTGATCTCCTCTTCAGCTCTAGCAAACCAGTCAGTGCTGGTTGACATAAAAGATGTCACAGATATCTTTGTAAAACTACAAAATACAGAAAGATTTACTTGCCGCTGACAGACTCAATCAGCACTGTGTTGTGGACATTCATTTATGTGTAAAAGACTCAACTCAAGATTTAAACAAGACAAAGAGTTGGCAAATATTTGACTTTTTTGCAAAAAAAAAAAAAGCCTTAAAAAGGATTTCGTTATTAAAATAGCAGCCAGATTTGTTTCTGTCAGTTATGGTTTATTGTTTCGGTTCTATGCCGTGTAGATTGACATTTAGTGTAGTTATACTGAATATTTATACACTCTTATATGTTGAACTACTCAATCGATGTAAAACGGTTCAACCAGCTAAATGATTCATGGTCCTCTAACAATATTGCAGTAATCTATAAAAATACTACACTTACCAATGCATCATTAAAACTTTTTGTACATTTTGCAGATATTATGAGCCTTTTTTGTAGTGTTAGGTATGGCAGAAACTTTTTTTTTGATACTGTTTGTATTTTAGAAAATATTATAAATGTTAAACCTATATTGAAAATGGAGAATAATGGGGTCATTGTTTATTAGCTTTCCAGCATGGTTTTTCACAAATCGTCAGCAGCTCATTATGAGGACAACGTTTGACTCTGCACCACACTCTGCTACATGTGCTGCACACAGTGCTGAGGGTATTAGAAACAATGGAGTTTGAGCTGCTTTGCTGGAAAACCTATGTGAATTTGGAAACTACTTTTCTAAATGACGGTCATGCTGCCGTTGGTTTGTTTCATTAGTGGATATTCATTAAGTTGTTGCTACTGACACTGGCCTGAAAAATCCAGTGTTATCTGGGTTGTAAAGGACTATTGTTCTTTGCTTTTCAAAAAAAGAGCTGAATACATTTTTCATCACTGCCCAGCAAACACTTAACATTAACAGTTGAGAAGAGAGGCCAGTATGTTGGCAGGGTGTTGTTGGATTTCAGATGATCACGATGACTAGGATAATGCCTTCAGCAGAAAGCAGTGCCTCTTAGTTAAAAGCGGTGTCATTTTCACAGTTTGTGCAGTCACTATAGTTTACAAAACTCAGACAGAGTAGCATAACACACAGCTGAGCAGATGGTGAGTCCGTGAAAAATAAGCATTTTGTGTAACTGCAAAATGATCTGCTGCTGGTATAACTCCTCCATGCCCAAATTTAAGCTACAAAATGTGTATGAAGATTACACATTAAGCTGTCATCTGTCTGGTTTTAGAATCTAGTGTCCGGTATTAATAAGATGACCCACTTATTTTCTCCATTTTATGATAATAGCTATAATTTTTGAAAGCATAGATCACGTCATCTGTCGTGTGTCTGGCTGCAGGTGTCACTGCGCTGTTGGAGGGTGACTTTGAGCTCAGTAGGTCAAATCGCCGCTACCTGGATCACCGAGATCCAACTTTTCCATCACATATGTTGCGTAACAGGCCGCTGTAATGCGTCTTACACAAGATGATTCAGTGCGATTACTCAGCATCGAAACAATACATGCAGCGCCTGTGAATACCAATAAAGCAGCCGTCAAGACCCCCCCCCCCCCAACCTCCTCCATTAAACAAACAAACAAAAAAACACCAAAATGTCTTGTGCCCACTGTGGCCTGCGTTTTCATTATCGTCACGAACAACCAGCTGAGACTGCGGCCTAAAAGAAAAGTTTACTCGATGATTGTTTGGTAGAAGGCTCACTTTGCATCTGCAGCATCAGCCGCCGGATTCACACAGAGAGCAGCCCACAGTCACATTTCACATTAGTCAGCCGGTGTGGCTTGGCTATCTGCACGTATAGCGTGGTGGTGTTGTGCGAGTGCAGACCGTCGGCTCAGACTGTCGTCCAGAGGGCTGTGAACACAGAGCTCTGTGGCTCTGAGAAGAAACTTAAAATTCAATTATTATTATTCAGCCAAATGAGTCAGTGTTCTGACTTGATTGCACAGTCTGTGCCACTGGGTCAGAAACATTTTGCAGTCATTCAGTCATTATCATGCGTAATAGATTGAGATGAGCTTCAGTAAAGGGTCCAATTCAGACAGAGCTTTGTCTCATCGCGTTGTGCTGCTCCAGATTGGTTGTTTAGTTATGTTGTTCTGCGGCTAATGATTATTGCCACTACTCAGTTAATTATGCAGCATAGGAAATATTGAAAAGTAATGAAAACCTAATTGAGATTGCTTAATTTTTCTGACCAACAATCCACACACTGGAACCAGCAAATGTGCATCATTATAGCCGGAAAACCAAAAAGTGAAGTATCAAAATGATTACCTTTTTTTTTTCATTCAGCTTTTCAGTGAACTGACTAATCATTTTCAGCTCTAGTGTTGCTGTGTCTTTGTGTGTATTTGTATGTATGTGCAGATTCAGCACGTGGGCAGCAGCGTCACCATATGCATGCTTCTCACACACATCGCACATTTTCTCTGCTGCGAATTATGAATTATTGGAACGAACGCCGTGAGAGCTTTGCAGCACGGTTTGTCATGCTTCATGCATTGACAGAGACGAGGGAAGTCACAGGCTTGGATTCCTGTCATGTTGTCATTCTCAGGAAGTGATGCTGCTGCTGCCTGTCAATGCGCCGAACGAGGCGGGGGGGGACAGAAATGGAGCTATACAACCTCTCAGTGAGTTCACGGGTTTCCTGTGGTTTTTCATCGTTGCGCCTCTCTTTGCAGAAAGCAGCAAGCACGCTCTGAAAAAAAAAAAAGTCTAGAGCTGCTCGACGAGCTTCGCGTGCTGATGTCGGAGGAATTTTTGTGCCTCTAATGTCCACGCAGCTGTGGAAACCGGCGTCGTGTGCTGAATGGAAATGATGCTCATTGTCCTCACGGCAACAGCTGCAGTGGGAAGATATAGTGCTTGTAACAGGCCAGCAAACAGCTCATTCACTTACACAAGCCCTTGAATTTACATATTGTCCCACATCATGTGTCAGAATGGGGTCAGAGCAGAGGGGCGTGTGCTCTGAGCTCTCACTGTTCTGCTTCTTTTTTTTCTTTTCTTTTTTTTATGGTGAGTGCGTTCCACCTCATCACACCTGGAGCCGGCCTTTGTGACCCGGTGGTGCGTTTGTGCAGGGACTCTTGTTTGTGTGCCATGGCTCTAACTGACCCTCCCCCCCCTTCCCTCCCTCCGGTCTGTACGATGGAGGAGTGAGGGATTAGCATGGATTTGATGGCCACAGTGGGACTTACTGCAGCCGGTGGCGCTGAGTTTAGAGCCTGTTGGGAGGAATTGATCGCACTTTGAGAACATAATGGACCCTCTGATGCCGGTCATGTGAATCACTTCAGGTGTGTTTCTGTGCGTCATCGCTTGGAAATCTGATCACATCTAAAGGTCCACCTATTTCAGCAATTAGAATGATGTCAGAAACACAAAAAGGGCTTATCCTTTTATGCACTGCATGACCTAACCTTTATGTGAACACCATATTAGCGGAGCCATGTGTTAACATATGTAAGAAGGATACCCTGTTGCCTCACTGTTGCCTGTGTTAATCCACTTGCTCAGTTTGAAAATATCTTGTGTGGCAAAAAAAGCCCTTGTCAGCTGAGCTTTAAAATAACAGGAACACTTACAAAAAAGTGAAACAAATTAAAACCACAAAGTTGAATGGAGCAAATGGATGAAATTCTTCATGTCTTTGTAAGCAGAAGAGAAGATTTATAACTTAGAACCTGTAATGGTACTTTAACCCTCCAAAAACACATGAAAACACGCTCTCATCTGTTAATCAAAGGTCAGTTTAGTCTTTTAGATCATATTTGGCTCAGTGAAAATGACCCAGAGAGTTTCCGGATGATCCGTCCTTTTTAAGCTCTTGACATCAAGCCATCCTGAGAGTGCATGGAAGGAAAAAGGTGTGTAATCAAAACAAGAAGGGGGGAGAAAAAAAAAAAAAAAGAAAAGCAATCACAGCTGCCTGCTCAGCGAGATTTATTATCTATGTGGTATCATAGCAACAGATACAGATTGCTTGAGCAAATATACCCTTAATTCTGTATTTGTTTTTAAAGGCTCTCATGTATGGAGGCAGATGGCGGAGGAAGACGGGTCCTAAATGGGTGTTTTTTAGAGGTTTTAAAAGTGTTTGCTGTGCTTTTGGCCGTGCACAAGCGCCGAGCGTACGCCAGCACAGACGGCTGCTGGCCATAGTCAGGGACTTTGCCAGTTCTCAGTAAATATTCACAATATGCTGTTTGTGTACTCTGGCCTGTCTGCCTCTGAGTGCCCTCTATCTACTCACTGACGATGTGTCAATATTGTCTGAGCGCATATAAAGCAGGACTAACGTGTCTCTCTTTCTGTCTTTCTTGCAGCGGTGCGTTTTCCGAGGTGGTGATGGCTCGGGAGAGGGCCACAGGAAAGATGGTCGCAATCAAGTGCATCCCAAAGAAGGCGCTCAAGGGGAAGGAGACGAGCATCGAAAACGAAATCGCCGTCCTTAGGAAGTAGGTAGCGCATGACTGCGCCGCGGGGGAGTTTGCAGAAGTAGCACAGCACTTTAGAAAGGGTCACCACCTTGCATCATCCTCAGGGAAGCTTGTGTTTTTTTTTGTCTCTCGCCAGACTCTGAGCTGGTTTATTTAGTCTCACTTTATTTAACAGTCATTGTCAGGCTTAAGTGACTGCCTTGTCAAGTCCCATCTATCTAACGTTTTGGGCCTCCAGAGTTAACACACAGTCTCTCTCACACACACATATACACGCCTACACAGGGTATGATAGGATTGCACTGACACCAGGTGACGCTCCATCCTCCTCCCCCAGGGCCTGATGGGTAATTCCCCCGAGGAGATCCGTTATCAGTCACTCTTGAAGTGAGCACGCCAGTTGTTGGGTGTAGTTGCCTGGTTACAGTTGCTATCCTTTGACTTCCTCTGCTTTTTTTTTTTTTTTTTTCTCTCTCTGTCTTGGTTCCTCATCCATTTTTTTTTCTCCCTCTCTTTATACCCTTTACTTGTCTCTGTTAGTGCAACAGTCCTCCAACTGCAACCTCATTTTCATTCTGGACCTAGAAAGGAAGGAAGTTGTGAAGGTTGTTTAGTCCTTTGAGACTCTCTCCGCCTCTTCATCTTCCACCCCCACCTTCTGCTTTTCAAACACCGGCCCTTATGAAGACGCTCTGTCATCTGCATATCACCTTGCCTTGCAGAGGCTTTTTTTTTTTCTTTTTTTCTTTTTTGTGGTTGCCTGGACACAGCATCTTGATCCGTCCTGTGTTACTTCCTTCAGGTGCTCCCGCTGACAGGGGTTACCGCTTCATGACTCATTGATCAGCATTCTCTATGAATCTCCATCACGTACAAAAGGTTTTCTCCCCCTTTGTGAACAACACGCTTTGCCAGGTGCAAACGTGGACGCACAACATACATCATGTGCACAAACAAGGTGCAGTAACAGAAAGCAAAAAAAAAGAGAAGGATCTGCTTTCAGTCAGCGGGGCATCATTTTAGCAAAAGAAAAGGGTAATTGTGCCTTATTTGTGTCCTGTGCTGAATTGAACGAAAGCTGACGGCAGGCAAAGTGAATTTTCTGCTCTCCCTCTGCAGGATAAAGCATGAGAATATAGTGGCTCTGGAGGACATCTACGAGAGCTCGAACCACCTGTACCTCATAATGCAGCTGTAAGTACATCAACCCACCACGCTGTTTGTTTAGGTCAGCTCTTTGCTTCCCATTTGGCCCGTCATTTTGATAATGTGTTTTTTTTTTTTGCTTGAGCAAGTGTCTGTGATGTCCTTGAGGCATATTTGCTTCAGTAAATGCAGTGATGCTTTCAAGAGGAACAAGTCTGTTTTAACAGCAGTATTTTAGGTGTAGCTGGGCTAAATAATGCAACAGATGTCAAAAATTACCTTTAAAAAACACATAACCAGTCTTTTTCTTTGCCATATTTTAGTCCAGAATTTACGCTTTAGGAGAAATACTTATTGTCATAATCTCATTTCATTCTTAATGAATATGAAGCTGAGCAAAGGCGTTACCTTAGCTTGGCATGAAGACTGAAAACAGGGCGAAGCTAAAAAAAAAAAAGGTATCCTACAATTATAGGGAGCTACACTGATCAGCCACCTCTTTAGTGTCCTTTAGTTTCTGGCACTGGGACGTTGGAATCAAATCATTTGGGGCTTCTATGTCGTAGAGTGGTGCCTCTATCGGTTGGAGACCCCACCCTGTTCTAGTGCATCTCACAAATGTTCAATCCTATCAGAATCTGGGGAGGTTAAAGGTCAAGTTAGCACCTTGAGCTCTTTGTTGTGTTCCTCAAGCCATTCCTGAGCAGTTTTCGGGGTATGGCAGGGGACACCATCGCTGTTTGGGAATGCTGTTGCCATTGGGGCGGCATGCTCAATGTGAAACAATATTTAGGTAGGTAGTATGTGTCAAGCATTGCTGTGTGGCGAGATGATTCACTGTCTTTCACTTGCCCTGTTGGCTAGCTTTAATGTTATGGCTGATCAGTGGATGTGCAAGACAGGAAATAATAAATTATATTTATGGAAGAATGTGAAATGACCGCATGTAACATCAGTGTAGACAAATATTGCGGGTAGATTTTGGTCGATACAAATTGCTCAGATGTCATTTCAGGCCACCGTCTTGTTGTCACGGTGACTAGCAGAGACTCCACGTCGTCACTGCACCAATCCAAGAGACGGTTCAGCACATCAAGCACGACTGTTGGGCTTTGTTTTTGTGAATTAAACAGATACTATACAATTTAATGTGGTAAAATGAGTAAGACAGAGTAGCCGTTTCCCCTGTTTCACTCATTGTGCTTTGTTAAATTAACATCTCTTTTACTCCTGCTTTGTGTTTAGCAAACAAAACTGTCGGACTTCTCTGCAAGAAAAGACACAAGAGTGTTTCCTTTGACCTTCAAGCTTGTGATGTGGCTGTTTGAGCTGTTAGTTTCACATTATGGTCATTTTGAGCCTGTACTTGTTACGCAGCAAATATCTTGTGAAATGTATTTCACTTAGTGTCGCCTGGTTCCTCTCTGCCGGTACAGCTTTCCTGTGTGCAGCATGTCGTCATGATTTCTGAGACCTTTCCCTTCCCCACATAATTTCACACTGTTTGTGGCTAATGCACCAGCGATTTAGCCGGCGATTATCTGCCCTCTTTGTATCTCTCAAAGGTGCTTAATGTTGCCTTGAAGTCTCACTTATATAAACGTTGAATGCCAGTCATTCGTGAAAGCAGGCACGTACTTCGACTTGATGCTCAACTTAATGTGAGTCACTTGTGTCTTTGCCTTTTTATAATTGCAGCTTAAATTCACTTATGGTGCATCAGTTCCAAACATTACACAGCTACATAATGTCAGGAACTCAGATGATACATGCTGGAAGATTACATTTAGTAAGACACACTGTACAGACTCAAATTGATTCAAGTTAAAAGCTCTTATGCATCAAGCAGAAATTAAAGACAAGTGTTTCTGTTATTTTTCTTGCAAAGCTGTAAAGCATTAATTTCCTTTTTGTCAAAACAAAGCTATGTGGTGCTGACGAGAAAACATATACTTCAAAGAGTGAATTCCAGTCAGTTACAGTAAAACAGCAGGGATGATATGGATAATACAAGAAGCGATTGATTTGATTTCTAACATTTTAGAGATATAGAGTAAGTCTCTGAGGTGAATCTCAATACGGAGGCTGATTTTTACACTTTAGGGATCCCGGCATGAAATGCAAATATTGAGATCAGGGGACTTTGTTTCACAAGCTCAGGTTGTGTGCAGCTACAAAAGGGTGCAAAAACCCACAAATGCATTTGAAGAAGTTTTCTTTTACCAGGGGAATGAAAATGTAGCATTGAGAGCTTTACTTAAATGGTATTTACACCAGAAATATTGAGTTATAAGGTATTTCTGTCGTAAAATACATGTAAGTTAACCTGAAGCAGCTTCAAATGGAATTTATCAGTTTATAGTCTTGAAAACAATTTAAAAAAACACACTTATATAGTAGTAATATAGTGAACAAGTTGTTGTTCTTCTGTTTTCTTACATATTGCAAAAATGTACAAACATTACAGTCATTAAATGTTCGCCGTTGACTATAATTTCCAGTCCATTTCCTGTCTTTCCTGTAGATTTAAATGCAGCTGTCATGTTTGTCATTGTTCCTATTAAAACACGAGCCAGTTGAGCATTCTTTCTAACTGAGGCCACGTTTACTCATAGTTGGGTATTTACAAAAATAACATTGTTCACACCAGATCATTTTCAAAAAATTCTTCATTTACACAAACCCGCATAAACATGTCGTTAAGAGCTGCTATGAGTATGCCAGACCTGTAGGGGGCAGTGTAACGAGACGCATAAAGCCATGTTAGCCAATCAGAATCCTGGCAAAAACACAACAACAAATGGCACAAATGACTTCCTGTTACTTCAACCATATTGGTGCGAGGGTCGTTTGTTTGGACCCACAGAGAAGAGGAGCTACTCCTGAATGTGGTGTTGAAGTACAAAACAAGCAACATACTTGAAAATATTGACTTTCTATCACAGTAACCAAACTGTAAACATGGGTCACACACATATGACGTTGATGACGCTTTTGTCGCAGACTGTGACGTCAAACTCTGTCTCCTCCTGTCTACATGCAAACGTAAAGACAAAGTTTTTTCAAATCTATACTGTGGCTGGAGTTTTCAGATATGATCATTTTCGGTGTCTTGTAGCTTTGTTTATGTGTAAACCAAAGGCCCAAATGCATTGAAATATCACCGTTTTTGCTACGTGTAAATGGGGCCTTAAGCTCCTGCCATCTGTGCCTCAACAATAAACCGTCTTTCAAAGTCATTTAAATCTTTTTCTCTTGTCATCTTGATATAAAATCAGAATCAGCTGGGACGCATAGCAATTTTCTACATGCCACAGAGCATGATTGGATGCTAATTGTTCAATTGTACTATGCGATGCATCTTTGTCGAAGCACCTGCATCCTTTATGTTTGTGCACTCATTTAATCAGGATTGTCCTTTATTTTGTTGTCAATCTGTATGTATATGTTTTAACATGTGGGAATGTATGTGGACATATGTGTATGAGATGTTTTATATCATTCTCACTTCATTGAAAACCACATGTCCTCCGTTGGTAAAGCTAAAACCTATTTCATATTTGTATAAACCCTTCTTCTGCTGTGTGCTGACAGGGTGTCTGGAGGTGAGCTGTTTGACCGCATCGTAGAAAAGGGCTTCTACACAGAGATGGATGCCAGTCGGCTCATTCGGCAGGTTTTGGATGCAGTCAACTATCTGCACTCCATGGGCATCGTGCACAGGGACCTGAAGGTACAACAGTGTTTAATATTCATAGTGAAACACGCATTTGTTGTTGAAGGGCTGACAGTGTGAGCTGCTCATGCAGGAGATCTCATAAACCTTCCTGAGAGGGGAAATCCCTGCTATGTAACCTGTGTGAGTGATGCTGCATTGAACACCGGCAGAGGTTAAATGTCAGGAATTTTCCTCCTCGGTAAAAAAGTGCTGAAGCCTCTTGGATGAACCATAAAAACTCTTGAAACACAAATGCGGGGGCTTTTGTTTTTATATTTCTCTGCAATCTTACTGTCAGTCGACACAGAATTGGAAAAGCATCAGCACACGTTTTGACTCTTTCCTTTGTTTTCAGCCTGAGAACCTGCTGTACTTCAGTCCTCATGATGAGTCAAAGATCATGATCAGTGACTTTGGCCTGTCAAAGATGGAGGGAACAGGTGGCGTGATGGCCACCGCCTGTGGGACCCCTGGATACGTGGGTGAGGATGCCCTCTGAGCTCTGGCTTTGCTGAAAAGTTACTCTGAGATAATTAGATGCCGTAGTTGGCTAAACACAACCTAATTTAATGTGCCAGTAGCCCAAGGTTAACCTTAGCCATCTGCTACAGGCAGACAACACAACATTCACATTCTTCTCCAGTCTTCAGTTGCTCTATTTTACTACATGAGGTTTATTTTTATTTCTTTGACTACTAAAAAACTGCTTTATTATTCCAGCTCCTGAGGTTTTAGCACAGAAGCCCTACAGTAAAGCTGTGGACTGCTGGTCTATTGGGGTCATCGCTTACATTCTGTGAGTACTTGATTCAATAATGTAGTAATGAATTTTGCGTATTTGATGATTGTTGTAATTTATTTATAAAACAAACCTTTGTTCAGAACAGAAGCTGACAGGAAAACCTCAATGAGATAAAGCCTCTGAACCCCCAAATTGCTGAGGGGTTTGACAGAGATGTTGTCTTTACAAAAAACGAATCACACCTTTTTAAAATCAGAGCCAGAAACTGTAAACAGAGAGAACTGTGGACAGTCCTTTGAGTCTTTCTCTTTTGTGATGTGTCGTTTGGTTGGAAAACTTAAGCAAACTGAACTTTAAATTATGATATTTCATCAAAATCACTTTATTCTATACATCGCATTAAACATTTGGCTAAAAATAAATCATTTCCTCTAAACTGATTGTGTAAAAAACAGAAAAATTGTGCGCCCCATTCAGAGACTTGGTTCTTTTTTTTGCTGAAATGGCCTAAACTACAGACTTTATTTACACAAAGCAGATAGGAAAAGGAAGTTATCTTTAATGCCACTTGTAGAGTCACTATTTTTTTCTAGTGTTGGCAAATGGAGAAACATTGTACATGTTCTTTTCAGTTTTTATCCATTTTTGTTATTTTTGCTTGCGGTTCAGAGGACAACAAACCTCTTTCTCAAAAAACTCCTGATCAAGACGGGAAGCAAATATAGATTTAGACACAAACATAACAGACAGATAGCAAAAATAACATCTTAAAATAAACAACTACAACATACAGTGACAATATAGGCAGCTGATGTTTTGCAGATTCACTTTAAAATGTGACCTAGTGATGGCACCAGATGAAAACTAAAGGAATCAACAAGTTTAATGACCCAATAGTTGTTGGGATATTTCAGTGTGGGACAAAGTGGTTGCAGATGACTGGTGTTGCCATCCCTGGACTGTACTGCTAAGATACAATAGATAAAATTATATCATTTCCTATCTTAAAAACAATAAGTGCACCACCTGAAGACAACCCAAAAGCATTTTAAGACTATTTAACAAAAAATCGGAAGGACACATCTAAATTCTAATGCAGCAATTTCAATACTAAACCATTGTTAGGTCAACATCTGAGGGATGCTCACAGCTGCTGTTCCTACAATGCAGAACCTGTGAGGCTTTCAGTGGAAAGTGTTACATGAAGCTGCAAACCTAATTAAGTAAAGTGTCAGTGGCGCTCGTTAGCAAAGAGAAAATCCCGCTGGTGTTATCCATTTGTTAGGTGCGAGGAATTTAAAGGTAATCAAATGTTTCCGAGGCCTTCACCAATGAGACTTCCGCCTCATGACTGTTATGGAATCATTTCTTACTGTTTCGTAATCAGAAGCCTAAATGTACAGGATGGGTTTAAGTCGCACATCTGCAGTTTGGATACCCACTTTCTTCCATATCATGTGAAAATGGACAGCTATTGTTCCATTTTCTCCTCTTACAATCCATGAAGTCTTGATAATCCCTCGCCTGTTGCATGCTATATGAAAAATCAAACTGCCAGTAAATGGGATTAGGCTGCAGCAAATCCTTTTAGATCTGGGTTAAAGTTTCTAACATCAGCTGGATGATGGCTTTCACACGGACTGTTGTTGTGTAATCATCCATCTTCATCTCCTCAGCCTCTGCGGCTACCCGCCTTTCTACGACGAGAACGATTCAAAGCTCTTTGAGCAGATTCTTAAGGCAGACTATGAGTTCGACGCGCCGTATTGGGATGACATTTCAGACTCTGGTGAGCAACAATGACCTCTGTGTTTGAGCCTGTCTGCGTGGGTTCTTGTACGATGCTGAAACAAAGAATAAAGCTTGTATTTTATGGATCCTGCAGTTCCATAATGATTAGATAGATAGATAGATAGATAGATAGATAGATAGATAGATAGATAGATAGATAGATAGATAGATAGATATTGCAGGTTGATAAATTCAAAATTCATTTATTCCCACTAGCTCATCTTATTTTTCTGCTCCGTATTTTTCCAGTTCTTGGGGGTCTTGCTGCACATTTTAATCACTTAATCTTATCACATTTTTTCAACATTTCCAGTAGAGTCCCAGTGAAGTGAAAGGTGCTGTTTCACATGCACCTGGTCCTCCTGGAAGTAGGAAGCCATTGATCTGGAGCTCTTCTTTGACTTGTATCATCGTGAATGCTTTAGGTTACACAACTGAGAACACAATCTGCAACTAATTCACTTTTTAAAATATGCCGTGTGTTGCGAGTGAATTCATCAGCTCTGTGTTTTGATCTTATAGTGACAAAGCCATTTTGAATTTGCTACTGCTGTGATTTGTGTGTCTCATTGGCTAATGCTACCCAAGGCTCATGGGTACAGTAGTGTTTAACCCCTCTGACAAAATGATTTCTCAGAAACAAAGCAGAGATAACTGAGACTGGTTGCAGTAAACTTGTGTGATCTGGGAGAGTTCACTGGTATTGGTATTAAAGAAGAAACTGTGATGGAAACATGACACAACAGAACACAACAGGGACTGTAGGCTTGACATCAGTAGCGAACATCGAACTGCACAAATAAGAGGACAAATTTGCTTATCTACCGCACCTGAAAATAGTTTTTAGCTCACAACCTAGATGCAGCTAACTTCCTTATGAAACTGCGCCTGTTAGTCCAGTTCATGTTGATCTGCACACTGCTGCAGCATCATTGCATGAACTTTTGTAACAGCAGATTAAAATCCCTCAGCTAAACTAAAAACTCATCTCTGTGTAGCAGTTACATACTTTGAAGTATTTTCCACAGAAAGTAATCCCTTAACTCTGCACTGATGCTTCATTTAGTCTCTGTCTCTCAGCCCTTCACACTGGCTGCAGCTGGAGCACACCAGCTCACCTACGGCTCTGTTCAAACACTGTTAAACTAGTCTCCTCTACACAATGAGGCGCTGTAACATTGGAGTTAATGTGCCATATATGTTTAAACTGATTCTGAAGAAGAATAATGATACAGAAAGCCCCACCCTGCAACTATGAAACTCTGGACATCTGAATCTGTGTTTTTTGAGACTGTCATCAGCACGCTACAGTTTTAAGTTACGATGCTCGGCCATGTTTCTGCTTATTTTGCTCATGACGTGCATATAAAAGTCCTACATGAGTGTGTTTAAAAAGGTCAAAACAGAACAAAGCAAAACAGACTGAGACTAGTTATCTAGTTCATGCTGATTAGAATTTTAAATTTATTGCTCCTCCTGGGTGAGTTTCCAACAACTAACAGACAGTAGACCATTTCAAAGCAGATCACAAGTGCAGTTAAAAATATTAGAAACAGCTGGTTATTGTGCACACTGGCTCACTGTCACAGTTTGTTGGAACATGAGATTGCACAGAGCAATCATTCACGAAAACGGTTTCATCTATGCTTGTCCTACATCAGCAAGTCAAAACATCTGAGTCTATACAGTGTTATCAGTAGAGCTTCAAGGCAAATAGTGAAATGTTTTTACTTCTTTTTGGCATTTTGCCTGTAATTGATGATGAGGTGAGAAACAAGAAGAGAGTTTTTGTCAGTTTTGGTCCTCCATACACAGAAAACAAAGCAATCCGTAGCCTCTGTAAAGGACAGCGCTGTAATGGTAGAGTTATTCAATTAATAGTTACACTTAAATAGAGCATAACAGATATTTTTATTTTATTTTTGCAGCAGGTCAACTGAACATATGAAATGTCCAATTTGTCTTTTTGTGTTGCTGTAAATTACACTAACCCTCCTATTATCTTTGGGGTCAATTTGACCCCATTCAGTGTTTAACATCTCTAAATAAGTCACTGACATAATTTTTTCTGTTTTATTTGAGGGGCTATTTACACATAAACTTGGGCAACAATTTTAATTCTGATATTTTCTGGGGGGTTAAATTGCTGGGGTCAAATTGAACCTCAAAGATGTCAGTAAATTTGAAGGTGGGTTAAATTCAGCAGATGATGAGTAAAAGTTTCCAGCTATACATTTACATTGTCTTTGAGTTTTTCAAGTTATTAAAAATGTAACAGTTGTTTCTAGGAAATATTTCTGAAAATCATCCATTCTTTATCAGCTCAACAAATTGTCTAATATTTCTTGGTTTCTCCTGAACAAATAAAATAATGGATCATGTATTGAGTCCATGTGCTGTCTCACATCATTGTTTGTGTTTTCTCTATATTAAATTGTACGGTTCTTCTCAGGAACTGTCACGTGAGCATCTTCATGTGGGACTGCAGGAGCCATAAAACACAACGTTGCAGCAAAACTGAAGTGTGGCTGAGTACAGAATGTGTTCTCAGCTGGATGTGCTCTTGACTTTTTCAATTCCCTCCACAGCCAAAGACTTCATCAGCTGCCTAATGGAGAAGGACCCAGAGAAGAGATTCACTTGTGATCAGGCTCTTGAGCACCCCTGGTGAGAAACTAACCGCTGCCACACTGCACCACAACCAGACAATCACGGGGGAAACGCACAACTCGGTGCGATTACACAGCAGTGTGACGCAGATTGCCAGGCTTACGCATTTGTCATGGAGAGCTTGTCCTCCCACTGTCATCTGTCACCATGGCTCCGAGCCGCGAACCCACCTCTGCTCGACACCGCCAGCCCTCAGAGAGAAATCTGCTGCATAAATGGCTGCCAATTAGTGGCTGCTGTCCTGAAGGATCCTTGAAGAATGTGGAAGCTTTAATGAACAATTGCGATGTCTTTCCAGGCCTGCGTTGGTTCTAACGAGAGCGAGCTGCTGTGGGCGGCTGCCTCCAGCTGAGGTGGCCAATAAGTGTGTTAGCCAGTAATGGGCATTGTGGGTTTTGGGCAGGTGGTCCCGCTGATACAAATATGTGGTTTGGGACACCAGTAACAGGTGTCATAACAGAGAGAAATGACTGTCGGTGACAGGGTTTCATACAGAGATATTATGATGAATGTGACAGACGGCTGCTACAACACCACCCCATCAATCAAAGGTGTTTTAGCAGAATGAAAACAAATGATAGGAGCAATCAGGAAAGCAGCATGAGGACGATTCCCCGGGTGTTGCAGATACAAATATAAATCAACTGGGTAATGATGTTTTTGGTATGTGTGAAGTGTGGTTTACATGATCTGAAAGGACTTGACTTTATTTTGCAGGATTGCTGGAGACACGGCTCTCTGCAAGAACATACACGAATCAGTCAGTCGACAGATGCGTAAAAACTTTGCCAAAAGCAAATGGAGGGTGAGACTTTCTTGGTTATCAGATATTGCTAAAAACACACACACTCACCCACACAATATTCTCTGTTCCTCTCTTTTTGAATTGCAAAAGCAGGTCGTGGCTTGTCTCTCTCCAGGGACCTGTCCTCGGTATTACACTTGTCTGTCTCTCTTCACAGCAAGCCTTTAATGCGACGGCTGTGATCCGCCACATGAGGCGCCTGCAGCTGGGCACCAGCTTTGGCGGCAGCATCCACAGCTCCAACTCCCTGTCCAGCCCTCAGAGCCGAGCTCCAGCCAAGAGCCAGTCCGTGGACTGCACCCCGCTCTCCCTGAAGGACTGTGAGTGACACTTCAGATGCTCACTGTGACCGACGCGAACATGCCCAACTTTTAGCACTGCACTCTGCTGAGCCTTTTCACTCCGCTGCCCTCTCCGTCAAACTAATTGGCAACTGTTAAACCAGCTCTTGATGTGTGATTTTCAATTATGCAGTCTTAAAAGAGTTTGACATGAGTCATGTGGTCACAACTTTTCTGGTGGCGTTTGGTCACCATAACGTCTACATCACATCTTTGGTAAATGCTCATTTATGGACTGTTTTATTAATGTGCTCGAACGAGGAAACAATCAGTGGATTAATTCTACAGAAATAAATTCACGTTTTCTGATTCCATCTTTTCAAACATGATCAGGTTTTAGCAAATGATAATGAAAATAATCAACACCTGCAGCCTTAATTTGTCATTCCAAAATGCTCTAACTTGCAACTTCAGTGTTAAGGTTAAGAATGAAAGAAAGAAAACTTGAAGAAGAAGTCTGGTGATGGTCAAGATTTTTCTTATAAAAAGACCAAAGCTGGCAATAAATGGATCCTATAATTATTGTCAGTGTGGCCAAAGTCTTAAATAGCTTATTTCTTGGTGCCACAGATTTATAAATTGGTTGCATTTGAGTGGCACCCATCCAGAGTTGGGTCAAAGTGGCAGAAAATTGTTAATATGTGTTATTCTGTGGCTAAATATTACAGTATTCACTCTTGTTTGAGTTAAAGGGTTTAGTTGTTTCAAGAGATTATTAAAATGAAGATTATTCTTCGACATGTTTTTAGCAGCAGTAGATTGGGGTTAAATGTCACAGGTCTCTCATAGCCAGCTCATTCTGCAGCTCAGAATAGTCATCATCATTCTGCTATAGAGGGAAAAACGTTTTTATTCCTTTAAGCCAGTCACAGTGGCATTGGGCGGAGGTGAGCCCAGGATGCAGCAACAGTGTCCTCTCAAAATAGAGATCATTTGGTGGAACATTTGCACACATGGAGGTCAGCACTGTCTAGCAGGGCCGCCTTACTGCACGATTCAGATCCTCTACAAAACTTGACATTTTCAGTTTGGTAGGTTGCTGCCTGGAGCTGCTTGTTGTTGTTGTTTGCCATCATGAAGGGGATTTTGAAAATGATAAAATGTAGATAGTTGAAAGGGAGGAAAAGGTCACGTGAAATGTGCGAAAACCGGCAGACTTATACCTGCAGGCTCATACATCCGGTGAGTCAGACTAAATTCACAGGATTTGAAATTGTATCAAGAGAGGGACCTAGTAGCAGATGCTCGTTACAGATCTAGTCGGAACAACGTGTTCGAAGGTGGACTGAAAAGCCAGTTGTCATGGCAGTATTATTCAAAAATATGGACAACAATACACTTTTTCAGAAATTCTACTAGCATTTTACTTGCTGTTGTTATTATGTTAAGAATGAGAAAAGAGGCTTTCAAACCCTGACTTCCTTCTCACGTCTGCACGTGAGAAGTTAGTGTGAATGTGGCTTGAATTCAGAACACAAGTGATAAAAAGACAACACACACACACACACAACACTTGTTTGGCCTTCTTTGTGGTGCAGGGAATGAAATCCCCCCCCTCCTCCCAGACACCCAGGTTATTGAAAAAGGTCAATTCCTGCACACATGTATCGCCTCTCTATTGATTGTTTTCGTTTTTTCCCAATATGCTGACCTATAATCCAACATCAGACAAATAGTGTGTGTGTGTGTTCTGAAGCAACAACATTCTTAGTTGCAGCCTTAATTTTTGGAGTGTAATTAAAACAAAGAACATTTTCAGACTTATCCTTCAACTTGTAATTTTCCTACTTATGTTAATGACATCCACATCCATGTTCAAACTACATTTCCCTCCACAGCTCTTCCTATAGCTCCTTTGCCGTCTGCTGTCAAAGTGTGCAGTCAGGACTCTGATGACGCCCCGGCTCCCGTACGAGAGGAAGCTTCGGTGGTGGCTGAGGCGTCTCGGCCGCGACCCTCCACTGTTACAGTCATCCACACTGGGACTAAATGACGCCAGGTTCCGCGGGAGGTGAGCTGGGAGACCACGGAGCTTTGAGACGGGAAAAAAACATCCCTGACCTCATGCTTCAATGTCGTTGCCCAGTTTGCCCATCCCGCCACCTCCCATCTGTTTCTGCCAACCACGGGAGGAATTTGAGGAGCGCAGGCTCAGCTCCATTTACCATGGCTCAGCACGGCTCCCCCCTGCTTCCCATCCCACTGTCATCCAGACCTGGAGGTACAGAGGGGGAGACACTCACCTGAAGTTGTCATTGTGGAGGCCATGATCAGCCTGGATCATGGCAGGTTAAAATAATAATTTAAAAAAAGCAGCTGGTCTGGGAAGTGCCACACTAAAAGGAAACTGTTGAAGCTGCTGTCATTTTTGACCGTGAGCATAATTTTTGACAGGACGATCCGCTGTATGCCTTGTATAAATATCCTGCCTGGAACTGTTGAGTGGAGTCATGTTATGCAAGTGAAATATTAAGCTTCAAGCTGTGGTAAATAATTGTGACATCATCTGCACTCTGAACTTCTCGTTGTTTTGACAGCTCTTGTTAATTTGCTGTGGTATTTGCTGCGATGGCTCACACCGTCATAACTCCCAGCAGTATGACAGTGTGTGTTGTGTCTTTGCTTTTAAGTGTGTGGACATGAAATACGAGCAGGACAATGTGCTTCAGTCGTGGCTGAGAGGATCGGTGCGTTGCACTAATGTATTGGAATATTTATTTTCTTACAGTATATTTTGACTTTTGTAAGAACTCCACTTGCAGAAATGTGTAAATGTGTCGCTAGACTGGACTGAAAGGTACTTGCATTGAATGATAAAGTATCTAATAGCTGTTGCTTTGTAATTGCTGTTTTCTTTGGTGAATTAATTTTGATGTGACTGTGAAGTCCTCCTCAACCACAGGAGGGCAACCACGGGTTGTCGCTTTGTGACCAGTTCTCAGGGATCTGCAGGGATGTGTACATGAAGCTAACCAAACCCCTCTCAGAGTGACCAGATGCTGCTGTTTCAGATGGGGACGGTGAAATTGTTGCAAAGTAAAACCTCCAAATACTGCATATTATTCCAATGTGCCACTGGGAGAGTTTGACAGACGTTTTCTTTGGTTAAAACCGTTATTATCGGCAGTATGAGGGTCACGTAACTCGTACTGAATGGATTGTTTTCCCTTTAAAACCCATGAAATCTATGTGGATGTAAAGAAAGTGTTCACCAGTGAAGTGTGCATTCATGTCTGTAGTTAAAATGTAAAATGACAAACGAATGCAAATGTACCCTGGCTATTATTGCTCCAGTCGCAGAGTCGGATCAGTCAAATCAGTAGTGTGCAGTTCAGTAGTTGAAATATCGTGCTCTGCTTCCGCTCATGAAGTGGCTGGTCTGAAAACAGCTCACTCACTCTGTGTTTAATCACTGTGCTTTCATACCAGCCTGTTGAATTTAGCAGAAAGACTCTTTCTCCGTCTCTCTCCGGCTCGCTCTCTAGAGACTTTCACACAGGGAAGAGAAGGGATCTTTCTTTGTATTTTCTCTGTGGTACCTCTTTTCAATTTGAATCACTCAACATGAATGGGCAAAGAAGAAACACTTTCACCAGAACGTGCCCGATATCGAGGGGCTGCGTTTGAAATATCTAAAAATGTGGTGAAAATCCAAATGGACTTTGAGCCTCTACTTGCTGTAAATACAAATCTCAACAACATTTGCTTGGGTCTTGAGTGTTTATTTTTGTCCCCCCTCCCCATTTCCCCTACCCAAAAGAAAGCTAAATATGACACATTGAAAGCCCCTCAGTATGCATGTTTTACATATTGTTGCAGAAATGTGTTTTGGAGTTGTAGAGATTCATGTATTAAAAAAAAGAGGCTTGTTTGCATGTGTTGTTGCTTCTTTGACGGGGAGTAAATATCAAGTTCGAGTTCATGCACATCAGTAAATATTTATGTGATTATATTCACACTTCTGCTGCATCTGATCATAAAATAATTGCATATTTATTAAGCCAGGAGACCAGTGCACTCCGTAACAGCTGTAACAAAATTCTGCCATCAGCTCAATACTAAATATTTTTTCCTAATTCTTAAAAAGATATGATCATTTTGCTCCTCATGTGTACCGAACATATAGCAGGATTTGTTTGTCTCAGAGAGCTTGGCTGTAAATCAGATATATACAATTAGTTTCTGTAAGCTCCATGACTGTGATTGAAGTTGACAGCACTTTTTAGAGGAACTACTCTGCTATAATGCCAAATAAATCAATTAGGATTTCTAATATTGATTTGATTACTGTATTTAAAAAAAGGCTAATGAGTTAGAGATATGGACTGTAATGGACCTCAGACATTAATTAATGTCTCTATGAAAGATGATATAGTGTACATTTTCTTTGTTTTCGACTGGCTCTGTCTCCTCAGTGTCAAGATTTGCTGGTTTTCTTTGTCGACCAGTGCTGGGACTGTTTTAGGAAATTGTGATTGCAGCACTTTATCAGGTGATTAAACTAAAGTGATAATTGTTTGTTGCAGGCAAATACGAATAAATGAACAAAGGTTTGACAAATGGAGGGGTCACCATTTCAACACTTTCCTACATGTTGTGTTTTAAGAAGTTTAGAAGAAAAGACATAAAAATGATGAAAAAGGAAAACATTTGGCAGTGATATATTGTTATTGTCTTCACACACAGCAGTGGGGTCTCTGGGATGCCACACACTGAGGAGGTAAAGCCAGCGTCAACAGAACCAGGATTACAAACACTCTGTAGCTGATGTCTTTGCTGTGTTAGCAGTCATGTTCTTGTGAAAAGCATCGCTTCATAGTTAAGGATGTTTGTCTCCTAAAGACCGGGCAGCTGTCGGGGTCACGTCTCTCCTCTTACTGCCCCCCTCCAGTCTCAGATGGAGTGACGGTTGTACTCGTGGGGAGGATGCATCCCGTCATAGTGGAACTCCCTCCACTGCTCGGTGCTCTCTCTGGTTCTCTCGTTTTGCTCTGAAAGATGAGGAGCAATTTTTGGGGGGAATGAATGAGCTTTCGCAGTGAATGAGCTCTTCACCGTCAGCTGCATCAGATATGAAGGGTCTACATACCGTCATCCTCCTCTTCAGCATAGCTCTCGAACTCGTTTCTCTTCTCCTCGTGGAACTCTCTCTTTCGTTCATCTGCAGCCAAAATCTGCCTCTGCTCAGCTGCAAGTACAGAGCGATGAATAAGCCGAGTGTGAGATGATCTGCATCTCAGAGTCAGTAGTTTTGTGTGTCATAGTACCCTCACTGCTATTTGCTGGGGATGAACTGGACAGGATTTAGACACATCAACAGCATTTTAAAAGTGTTGGAAGTGTGTGTCATGTAGGAGAAGTTTTAAAAGAGACTAACTAAACTAAGAAGGGCCTGTTAGTCGGTACCAAAATGACAGATATGTTAGAACTCAAGTCCTTAAGTTAAATTCCCTGTATAACAATTACATTTTGTAAAATTGCATTCAATCGATAATCTAAAAGTCAGAAAGTATTCCCAGCAGAATATACTTGAAGTATCCAAGGTACAAGTACTGACCATACGATAAATATTAGAGCTTTTTACTTAACAGCATTTTATTGTTAGAATTTGTTCATTTTAATTACTTTATAAACAATTTGGTAATTCAGTCCACTGGTTTCCAAAAAACTTTGTCCCGAGGATCACAAGAGGGTTAATGAGATGATTAATATGGAATAAAAGAAGGGAAAATGTAATTTCTTCTACATAAATATGTATACATCTTTGAGCTTTTATTCAAATTCTTGTCTGGATCATCTACCCTCAAACATTAATTGCAATAAAAACATGCGAGAGGTTTAGAGGGTAAATATATCTTTGGAGGAACTGCCAATAGCCAAATACACCAGTGGTAGAAAGCACATCTACTCCAGGATTGCACTGGAGCACAAATCTGAGACACTATTGCTTTGGTTTTCTTTTTGTACCACTTCTGCGCCAGTGGATTTCAGAGAAAAATATTAGAGCTTTTACTTCACTCCGTTCACTAAACTACAGTTTTTGTTTATGATGGCATGAACTCATGATGAAAATAATCATTACATTAATGAGTGAGCAATAACTCAACTAGACATACAAACAAAAGGATCTGGACAAGGTGTTGTATTTACAAGTCTTAGGTACAAACTTCACCTAGTAAATAAACAATCAATAAGAAGTACAATCCTTGATATTTGTGTAATGAAGTAGAAGCGTGAAGGTGCACACAACACTGAGGCTCACACTGAGTACACAACGTCTGAAAATAGACTGCAGCAACAAAAAGAAACCACGGTTTCAATTCAAAGCCCACAGACAAGTACAGACACACACACTCAACACAATAACTGTTAATCATCACAAAAGTACAAACTCGAAAAAACCCCACAGAACTGAATCACTGTGTCCTGGGATGTTTTTAAACACAGGCGAGCTATAGGCGGACGCCTGGGGCAGCACCGGCTGAACGGGCACCACGGAGGAGAGAGAAATCTTTTGTAAAGCTTTTCAGAGTCCCAATCTACTTTTAAAAGTCTGCAGCTGACTCTCAACACACACACACATTATGAAACCTCACACAGCGCTGCCGAGCTACAGAAACAGCAACACAATGAGAGAATATCACGCTGAGGCTGGAATTTTTAAATTTACCTGTATGACTTCTGTAGCTTTATATTGGCTTTGACTATACTTCAGAGTGCGAGAACAGAGGCTGTGAAATTTGTTCCTCTGGGATCGCTTTAGGCAGGGCCAGTTTGGACAGGAGGCAATCAATAATTCTGTCAGTGTTCTTGGGAATGTAAGACGCAGACTTAAAAGTTGCTTATGTATCCTTTAAGCTTCACCTCATATCAAAGGCTTTGCTTGGTTTGTAGACTGAGTTTAAGTCTCCTCAGAGAATATTAAAACATTCAGTCTGAGACATCTGAGCTGCAGGTATGAGAGCAACCAGGAAGCACTCAGAAGCTTCAGTCGTGAGCGAGCGAGTAAATGAAGCTCACTGACTGCAGTAACATTAGAAAGGTGTGGGACAGCCACGCTAACCTTTTCAAAGGGAGGTCGCAACCTTTGACCTTTCGCTGGGATTCCAAGTTTGTGCATGCAGTGAGAACTGGAGCTCATCTTAAGAATTCAAGTCATTCACTTCAACATGATTTACAGATTGACTTACAGATCAGAGTTTGGCACTAGCATGGAAATCTCACTCAGTAAAGTGAGAACTGAGGTCATCATATTTCTACTTATTTATTAATGTATTTTGTTAACCCTTTCATTCGTGGAACAGCAGGATTAATCATCTGTTATTTTGTTCACCTTACATAGCACCGCTTCTCAAGGCTCGCCAACCCCAAAGACAAACAGCAGCGTTCGTTCAGACTCTGATGTCGATGTTTGGATTTCAAAACTTTGCCTTAAAAATTCTGTGTCACCTTCTCCACCTACAGCTCATATCAAAAATGTTCCTTTGCAAATTTCATCTAACTGCGAGAGAGATGAGCTTTTATGTCAGCATGCAGCAGGAGAGGCTCTTCAAAGTGAGCAGCTTATTTGTCTCACTTTTGTACTTGCTTTTTTCTCTGACCCCTCTCTGCCTGTGTGTTGGCACATTCCACATTCAGCTCCCAGCCGCTCACCCACTCACTCGTCCATCTCAGTCTTTTCACTCTGTTCTCTGCTTTGTGTTCATTTTATTCCTCCTTTAGCTGTACAAAGTGTCTTGTTGTTGTTAGACATACGGCATGTTATACAACTCAGAGCCGCAGTATCACTGTGTGCTCTCACCTTCCTGCTGGCAGGGCTGCATGTATGCACTGCCATTAAATCCCTGGTGTATGTCAAACATTGTACAGTATGTGAACACTCGCATGGGGAACGCTGACAGATGTGCCCTGCTGTGAGAGTGCATGTGAGCTCCATGCTGCCCTGTGACTCCTGCTGCAGCCTCCAGCAGAGGAAGCAGAGCTGCTGTGTGGACACACAGTCTGAGGTTGTCTCTGGTCACGGCAGGTCCAGAATACAGAGAACAGCTGCTGGCTGCCACCGACATGAAAACATCCAGACTGTCATAAACATGTTCGCCCACTGTACGGTCAGGCAGCAGAGAGTCCGCATCTTAACACATCATTTCATCTGTTATTGAGGCCAGAAGGGATTCAGCTATCACTGAGGATTTCAGTGCTGTGCCACATTTCTTTATGCTCAAGATCAGGACAAAAAGATGTTTGTTATGCGTCAAATGCAGCTGCTTAACAAACATTGACTTGGCACCCGTACTTTTAACCATCTGTGTGATCAGAGCTGTGGCTTTTTGACCTCTAATATAATGTATAGATATTTTCATGTTGATGTACAAAATCTGATGTTTCAGGATCTTTGTTCAAGCTTCATTCAGTTCTTTTCAGAATCAAATCCATCTTGTTGACACATGTGCAGCAATCTACACTGCACTGCCTTGTTTTAGAGTTTCCAATAAAATCCTCAAATATGCAAACTTTCACCAGGAAATTTGGATTTATTTGCTTTAGAAAACTGCTTTACAGGAAAAATACAGGCTATCTGTCACTTAGCCAGATTTGCTTTCCCTTAAGCAGGCAGGTGAAATGTGAAGATCTATCTAGATTTTTTAAAAATGTTGTTTCAAGAGGTAACAACTATCTTGCTCACCATAACATTTTACAAGTATTTATGTTGGATGGAAAAACTCCTGACTGTGAGGAATCCAAGGAATCCAAAAGTTGCACAATTTTTGATGAAAATAAATCCTCAGTAACAACTTCAGCACAAGTAATCAACAATGTGCAGGATTTTTATTATTGTGATTTTTTAATAGCATCTTCTTAAATATTTAAATCTCAAAATGAATCTTAAACATTTATGAGGATAAGTGGTTCTAGATACAACATATTGAATTCTATTAAGGTGCGAGGGGGCCTCAGCTGCTAAAAGCTGTCCTGTATAATAACACACTGATGCCAACAATTACCACAAACACACAACCACACACACACTGACCTTGGCTGACCAGACCGCAGTCCAAACTGCCACAAACAAAATCAAAGTAAACTCACCGTTGAGCTCATCCTGGGACTTCGCCCCCCGTCTGCTGCGTTTTCTGAAGAAGTTTGAAGCATCTGCCTCTTTCATGAAGATCCTCTTCAGAGGACCTGCGGTGGAGGCAGGAGGTGGTTGAGCTCACAGCACAGAGGGATAAACAGGAAGGATGCACAGCAGAAGTAAAGTAGCTGATGTAGCTCCTCACCTTGTGGATCTTTAGCAGTGCCTGTGCTGCTGGGCACAGCTGCAGAGTCGGCCTCTGGGGACACTGGGTCAGAAGATAAAATGTGAAAGCACCAAATTAAAACAGACTCTGTGTTCTCCTGCTTACCTCTCCATGAAATACAGGGGAAACCAAACAGCTAACATTGCATTTTCCAAAGAAGATGCTGCTGATATTTGAATGCACAGATGAAAAAAGATCATGTTCTCCTGCATTGGACTCACAGGAAAGTGCAAGAAGCACAGTGAGGAGAGCCAGGAGGGTCACGTATGTCCAGGACATCTTTAATTCTGAGGCTGAATAGCTGAGAGATACGAGAAGTGAAGGGGAGCAGGAGGGAGAGAGGTGAGTAAGACGTATGTGAGAGGTGGGGTCGAGAGCCTGGAGCACTATTGACTGCTTGTCAGATGAGGGAGGGAGTGACCGTGCAGATCTGATAAGAGGCTGAATCCTACAAACAACAGAGGGCTTTCAAGTGACAACAATGTGCTGAGAGTTTGATTTTGACTCAATAAATCTGTAACTCATCTCCTTTTCAGTCGTTTTGTTTGCAATTAAAGTAAGCTGAAGTGTGACTGGTTCTTTATGCCTTTAGTTAAGCACCATAAGCCTGTGAGGGCCTATTTTTTATTTTATTTTTTAAATCCCAAAAGTGAAAACATAGGTCCCACCATAGAAATTACACTACAATACGCTCCACTTGCCTGGATAATAGCTACACTTGCCACGGAAGGATAGATGACAGACAAAAAACAAAAAAAAAAGTTTCAACTGAGGCTCAGAGCAAAGTTGGGAATCCTTGCCAAACGTCTCCATTGCAGATGCAGCTGAAAAGGGCCCCTCAACAAGGCCGGCTCTCTCCACTCTCTATAAAGTTGTGCAGGAAAGTATGCAGCCTTCTGTTTGCTTGAGTTTTCTCCAACCTGCCTCCTGGCTGTGCCCCAGAAAAGAGTGAATGTTTAAATTGTTTTGTGGTGCAATCCAAGGTGGAGGAATTGTTGCTCAGGGAAGTGAGAAGAAATTGGAGAGACGGTTTAGGAAGATATGGAGAGAGCATGTTTAGCTCAGGTATGTGTGAAAAGTGTATATGGAGGGAAATTACGCTCATTCGTATAAACTGAACATTCCATTTCAGCAAAACAGGGAATTAACTTCAGCAGGGCCTGTGAGTGTATAATTCTGTAAGTTGTAAGTTTTGTTTGTTTTTGTCCAGTGTTGTCTAGATTTTTTTTTAGCTAACAGATTGTCTCAAAAACTTTGATGAAATGTGGTGGGAAAATTTGATTTTCTTTTTTTATATAATGAAATTAAATAAAAGCTGATG